ATGAGTTCCTTTTGATTCCAGGGTGTTGTCCATTCTGTTAAATAGGATATTTTTCCAGGGGCTGCATGTATCCCTTCATCATCTATTACATGTCCAAGGATATCGAGCTTATCAGTAAATAGAATTGATTTGTTTCTGCTAGCGTAGAATTTAGCTTCCCTTAGTTTGGTACAAACCAAACCTATATGGTAGGCATGTTCTATTTTGGTGTTCGAGAAGATGAGAATATCATCAATGTAGACCCAAACAAAATGGTGGAGGTATTCGCTTAGAAGGTTTTCCATAATTCGCATAAAGGTGGTGGGCGCATTCATATCACCTTGCAACATAACTTGGCTAATGAAACTTCCGAAGGGTGTTTTGAAACTGTTGTAGTGTTCGGATTCCAGATCTAACCTTGTTTGAAAGTAGGAATCACTTAGGTCAATCTTGCTTCTGAATCTAGCCCGTCCAACAGCATTCAGGATTTGGATCTGGTTTGGGATAGCAGAGCTATCCATAACCGTCTTTTCATTCCGTAGTTTGAGGTCAACCAAGGGACAGATCCTTTTTCAGTCTGCTTTGGGTTGAACAAACATAGGAGTAGCACCTGGAGCTTCTCCTCGGTAGATGACTCCCCTTCTTTGTTGTTGGTTGATCCAATCACAAAGTGGGCTTTTATATGCATCAGGGATGGAGTAGGTGGGTTGGTTCTTGAGATTAGAGGGGTCTCAGAGGTGAATGTGGTTGTTCACTTCTCTCATGGATGGTAGTTCTTCGGGAATCTGATCGGGAAAAACATCAGAGTATTCATCCAATAGACGTTGGGCAGTTGCTTCACAGACTGCGGCTCAGTACTCTCCACTTGTTGGTTTGCGTGAGACTCTGACCTTCTGATCTGGGAAATCGATGGTTGATTCCCCATACCTGATTATAGCTTTGTGGCGGTTCAGGAATGGCATTCCTATGAGGGCATTGTCTTTGGCTAGATTTCCAACCAGCATTTCCTGGGGGGGTAGGACAGCAGAACCAAGTCGAATAGTCGCACTACAGGTTTTATGGCTTGTGGATTGTGATCCTTTTACTGCCATATTGACTAGTATGGGTTGGTTAAGGTCTCAAGTTAGGAGTCCATGGACAGAAACAAAGGCATTGCTGATCATATCTCTTCCGATTGCGCCAGTGTCGAATAGGACTCGAGCCTTCTTGCCATTGATGAGAATAGTACCTTCCAGGGCAGTGTGTGCCTTAAATGTAGCCGGAGGCCAGACACTGTTGCACTCTACATCAATATATCTAATATGAATCTCCTCATATTCGCTGTATTGGGCATCATCACTATCATTCTCAATATTGTTGGCTGATGCTTCTTGTTTAATTGCCTTTCCTTTCCCTTTCTTCATAGGGCAGTTCTTTGCCATGTGTCCTGTTTTCCCACATTCGAAGCATTCTCCTTTCTGTCGTCTCGATTCTTTGGAGGATTTGGTTTTCTTCTTGAAAATACGTGGAGTATCATCTTCAGAGTTGCTGGAGGGTTTGTGTCGTGGTTGGCTATTCCTGCTAGAGGATGTCTGTGTTTTGTATGCCTTAGTCTCATGGAGAATGGCGTCCTTCCATTCTGCTCTTGCAATTATAACTGCAATATCGTCGTCGTCTTCCTCGAGTGGTTCAACCTCTCGTCGGAGGGTATGGTGTATAGTATCATAGAATTATCACTTAAGGATGTAGTTGGAAATGCTTCCTTTCTTCATTCGGTCCATATACATCAATAGATCCGTAGCTATATCTGTAATCCTCTTGACATGCGTTCCATTAAATTGCTGGAGCTGGTTGAATTTATTGTATAAGAGGTCGTTGGTGATAAAGGATTAAAATCATCCTTTCAGATAATCGAGGACTGTAGATCCTCTTAATCTCACATTTCCGCCGTAATCCTTATAGTATTGGTGGTATGCGTCAGTTGCCTTTCCTTCGTAACATGATCCAATGTATAGGCCAGTTGGAGGATCTTCCATATCTTTTCCTTGCAGGAGAAGATAGTGTGTGAGTTCCGTCGCCCATCGGTCAAAGGCTTCAGGTTTGAGGTTTTTTTCTTCTCCTGTGAACTTTGCTGAGAGGTGGAGTTTAAACTTAGGAGGTTCAAATGCTGCGGATATCTCCTCTTCTTCAGGCCTAGCCCGAGATTTTTCTCCTCCAGAGGGCCCTCCTCCTGTGCTAGCCATGTCTAATTCGCTACTGGATTCAGGGTTGATTGGAGGTTCAAAAGAAGGCTTCTTTGCTGGGGTAGAAGGGAATTCTCCTAGAGGTTGTATGTCTTCCATGTTTGCAGGTTCACCTGGCTCCTTTGCAGAGCGCCAGGGTTATTTCTTTCTTGTAAGGCCTTGTCGTGAGATCTGCCTCCCACTCCTAGTTGTCAAAGACTCTATGTTGGATTTGAGATAAAGCCGAATGTGCCTTGATTCTGCCACTTCTCGCCGCTAGCATTCTGAGGTGGATATCGATAGGTTGATCAGGCCTAAATCCGGGGACAGGTTCTTAACCACTTGCTGAGGTTAAAAAAATGTAATGTATTCGCAAGATACTAATCACGTTATCGGTAAAGGGTACAATAGTTGGCAGGTGGCCTGCTCTTTCAGAGAGAAGGCGAGAGCTGTGAACTAAAGAAGGCTTCGAGGGTATACTGGGGAACAAAGAAGTAACCGTTCAACCAAGTATATTGAAATACTGTCTGTCGAAGTCTGCCTTTTCTATTGTAGAAACTGGCGGTTATTAAATACACAAATCTGTTCATGTCTAGCATGAAGGAAACTAATCAAAGGTATCAATCAATACACTTTGGTAAAACTTCTTAAGTATCAAAGCGATACTTAAAACAAAACATAAAACAAAACCAAGTATCAAACGATACTTAAAACAAACCAAGTATCAAAGTGATACTTAAAACAAACCAAGTATCAAAGCGATACTTAAAACAAAACATAAAACAAAACCAAGTATCAAAGCTATACTTAAAACAAAACATAAAACAAAACCAATAACCGAGTACCCGTACCGGTTACAAATTGAGTAAAGGTGTGGCTTAACGATATTAAGTTTTACTGTTTTATTTCTTCAAACTCTACTGTTGAGACTTTTAAATTTATTACATTTATTCACATTAGCAGAAGAATTTATCTCAGTGCAGTCACAATCTTGGGACCCATCTTCTCAGAGAGAGTCCCCATTATATTGAGCCACAAGAGCTGTCTGGCATATTCTCCATTGTACCAGAAGACAGATCTAGAAATCTACCGAATATTGTCGCAATGATTTGATATAGGTGGATTCGTGTAATGTAAACATCTATGGGGTACTATCAGGATACTACCTGGCTCATTTAGTCTCAATTTTAAAGGTTTGCAACATTGTTACAGGCTTAATTGACAGGCTTGTACTTGTAGATAAACTTTATGTTGAGAATTCTAGGAAGACAAGCAATATTACAAGACTGATTACGGTCACATTAAAGATAGTAAAGAGATCTGCAGAAATAATACAAATTGTAGTAAGTATTAAACGTATTATGGGAAAGACACATCTGGTACCAGATTCAAGAGAAGTAGAGAATAGCTATTGGTATGTAAATAATAGGATTGATTTAGAAACCTTTAATAGAATATATTGAGAGATTGTAGCATTAGAAACATGTTTATCTCAAACTTCACATGCTTCGGTAGAATCCAAAAATAACCTCTTCAAACGTAAAAAAAGAAGTTGGAATGCATATGAAGTGTAGAAATGTTTAGCAAATGGACTGGCAGAGTAAATAGAAGGAACTAAATGAGACAAATTATGGTAAAAAAGTATCAAATATAGTTGGATAAGCAAGATAAGGATCCATGGTACAGTCAAGAGGAGTGGAGCATAACCACAAAAAACGTGGGAATGCATAGGGGGCAAATTGGGATGGATAGAGACTACATGATGACAAGAACAAGGACAGAAAAACAAGTTTAAGAAGTATGGCCAAGGAAAGCATAGTGCTGAAATCAGGATAAGGTTTATCTAGTTATAGTAGAGCTAACAAGAGCCTTTCAACATTGCAAAGGTGATGGGTGAAAAGGACCAAAGATGTGCAAGGAAAACTAGACGTGAGAAATGAGATGGGCAAGCGAGAGGTACAAGCAGAGCGCAGGGCTGCAGGGCTGCAGGGCTCCTGTAGAGTGCAAATGAGACTTACAAAGGCACCACAGAGGGACTGAAGCAGGAAAATAATTCATGATGTATGTAAGGTATAGGGGGAAGTAGCTATGTTAACCACTACAGGAAAATATATGTGTACTACATGAGGGACAATTTTTTTTGCTGATGACAATCCTGAGTCTATATAGGTTATTTCCACCAAATACCTATAATTCAATATGGAAAGCAAGTTAGGAGAAACTTGAAAGCAAATAGAAGATATTAAAATCCTTAAAATGGGTTTGAAGGTGGTTTGGAACTTAATTCCAGTAGAAAGTCTTGAAAGTCTTATTAGAAGTATGCTAGAACAATTGTAAACAGTAATTGATACTAAAAGGTAATGCTACATGATACTAAGTCCTATATATAGTAGTATCATAAAAGTTCATAATTGTAATTATTAGATATTACTCACTATTTCTGAATTGGCTTAGTTAATAATAACAATAGTTATTACTCTATTATTAAAAAGTGGACTTGAATTTTCATGCTATTATAATATTATCATATCAAAGGATTTTCACCAGATATCACTCAAGTTTCCTAATATGATTTAGTCTACACATATTTGAAATGGAGGTGAACAGGAGTTTACCTACCTCCTTGTACTTTTGAATGGTGAGTTTGCCATGAGCTGAATTAGCACACAGTTTTTCTTTTGATATTATGATTAATGGTTGAGATTGTGTGGGAAACCGAAAAGAGGAAAATGGTTGTGTGCGCTGAGTGGTCAGTTGCCTAGTCTAACCTGTCGTGGTCGGATACCACATAACCTACCGGTAACTAAATAATATTATGTTATGCATTGTTACCCGGCTTTCCCAGTGCTGTCATTCAACCGCCAGGCTTCGGAAAAATTCTCTGGACTCAATTCTTCGTCTCCACTATACATCCTGCTATACACCACAATTCACACCGAACTTCACCACCACCACAATTCCGCTGCGATGGCCAAACGAAAGAGAGCCGGCCTTGTGAAGCTCACAAATCTGTGCCCTCCCATTCCCCAAGGTTCTCTCATTAGGTGCGGCGACAATTGCTAATAAATTTCCAACAGTCCTATGCTCCAAAACCTCATCCGCCGCGACCCGCCCTCCTACCATGAAGAATTTATCCTACAATACCGACACTACGAGTCGCAGCGCGATATCTTCATGTCCCAGCCGGAGGGGAATTCCGGCGAGACCTTCGCAGATCTAGTCGGGTTTATGTCGCAGGTGACCAGCTGCTACCCAGACCTTACAGAGAACTTCCCGAACGACTTGGCCGGACTACTGTCAAAGCACCACAACGTCCTCCACCACGAACTTCGGGAGAAACTCGTCCAGAGTCTGGTGTTGCTCAGGAATAAAGACGTTATCCCTTCGGCTACGCTTTTGCAGACTCTTTTCCCGATTTTAACGACTACGACGAGCAAAGCACTCCGCGCACAGATCTACTCTACCGTTACTAGTGATTTGCGCAGTTCGAATGCGAAGATCAAGAATCACAAATTGAATAAGGCAGTGCAGACGGTGTTGTTCGGGCTTGTGGAGGCGGGTAAGGACGATGCTGGGTCTACGGCGGGTCTGTGGGCGGTGAAGTTAACGAGAGAATTGTGGAAGAGAAGAGTATGGGGTGATGCAAGGGCTGTGGAGATCATGAAGGAAGCGAGTCTCTGCGCCAATTCGAAGGTTATGGGCGGTGGGATTCGTTTCTTTCTGGGTGTGGATCAGGAGATGGATGAGCAGGAGGATAGTGATGACGAAGGGGTAGATATTGGAAGGGCGAAGCATCAGGTCGGGATCAACAAGAAGACGAATAAGAAGAAAAGGCAATTAGAGAAGGCGTACGCTCTACTGAAGAAGGTTTGTTTTGATCCATGTCCCCTCGTTCACATGAATCGTTTTGCTAATTTTTAATTTTTTTTGGTTTTATTTTCTAGAAAGAGAAGAACAGGAATAAGCCGCATCCGCTGGACTTTTCCGCTCTACATTTACTCCATGACCCCCAGGGTTTCGCGGAGGCTCTGTTCTCAAAACATCTTTCTCGTAACAATAAACTCACGATGGAACAGAAGCTGCTTGTCCTCCAGTTGACATCCCGCTTGGTTGGTTTACATAAGCTCAGTGTGTTGGGGTTATACTCCTATCTACTAAAGTTTCTTACCCCCCGTCAGCGGGATGTTACACAATTTCTTGTCTGTTGTGCCCAAGCTTCTCACGACCTTGTTCCGCCAGATGTATTGGAACCCATAGTCAAGAAGATCGCAGACGAGTTCGTCTCGGAGGGTGTTGCGGCTGAGGTTGCTACAGCAGGGTAATATTATTCACTTCTCTCAAGCATAATATACGCTGAAATCAATGATCTAATAGCCTTAACGGAATTCGTGAGATCTGTGCACGAGCTCCGCTGGCTATGAATGCCACACTTCTCCAGGATCTTACGGAGTACAAGGGCTCTAAAGACAAGGGTGTCATGATGGCAGCGCGAGGTCTGATCGGATTATATAGAGAAGTCGCACCTGAAATGTTAAAGAAAAAAGACAGAGGCAAGGCAGCAACCATGGATATGAAGAACAGGGAGGATCTACGCTTCGGAATAGAAAAGGAGGGAGTAATCGAAGGCTTGGACCTCCTGGAACAATGGAAAGCGGAGCAAAAACGACTCAAAATGGCAGCAAAAGTGGAGATCGAAGTCAAAGAGGCTAACGAAGAAGGGGGTCATGAGGAAGAATGGGAAGGCGAGGGTGACGACGATTCAGAGGATGATGACGACACAAACCGGGCAGGGTGGGAAATTGAAGATGATAGTGAGGATAATGAGACGGGGTGGATCAACGTAACGAGCGACAACGAAATCGAAATTAGTGACTCGGAAGACGAGGAGGAGGAGGAGAACTACAAGCCGAAAAAGAAAACCAAAGTCGATGATGAAGAGAAAGAAGTCTTACCGGGGGAAACAGATATGGAAGAGAAAAAATTATCAACGCTAGCGACTACCAAAATTCTCACACCGGCAGACTTTGCAAAGCTAGCAGAATTAAAGACGGCAGCAGGGTTGGAAAGACTCATGGGCAAAAAGTAATACGAATACCTTCCACGTTCCAGATTTAAGCCACGCTAGCTTGGAATTATCGAACAGACCGCTAATATACTCTTTAGAATCACAAACGAAGATGCCGTCGAGGTAGACGCTATCAAGGGCCCGCAAAGGCGCGGGAAATCGGATAAAGAGGCCCGGCTCGCGGCGGTCATGGAAGGCCGTGAAGGGCGGGAGAAGTTCGGCTCCAATAAGGGGAAACGGGACAAGGCGCACAGCACTACGAATAAGGAAAAGGCCCGGAAAAAGAACTTTATGATGATGAAGAGCAAGGCGAAGGGTAAGCAGAAGAGGAGTTTGGTGGAAAAGCAACGGGCACTCAGGGCGCATGTGGAGAAGCAGAAGAAATCGAAGCGGAAGGGATAGGCTGGCTTGAGGCCTGTATGTATCATAGGTTTGGTAGTGATGAGGGTGCGATTTTACCTGTTGCGATCCTCAAATTTTATATTAAGTTAGAATGTAAAAGTAATTGCCAATAATGAAATATTAGTACGATACCCCCGAGATTGTTAACAGTAGTACTGTACCGGCAGGGGAATAGAGTCCACGAGACGAAGTGCATTACGCGCCGGGGTCGGGGTTTTACAACGAGTAGTTTGCCATTTTGTTAACATAGAATACCGGTATTTCGATATTTGTACTCTTCCTGTAGACACATGTCAATTAAGAACTGGAAAAATGGTGTATTATCTATCACACGTTCTATCATAGGTGTTCGGCATGCCGCAAATACATGCCACAAATACATAGTATAAAAAAAAATTTATCCAGTATTTTATTATTATTATTATTTTTGGGGGAGTGAAAAAGAAAATGTAATACTGTTACCTTGTTCTTGTGGCGAGTGTCAGAGTGATGCTTGGATTCCTAATTACGCTCTCTTTCAAAAAGAGAAAAGGATACTTTACTTCATGCTATGTATGACCCAGCTTACACAAAATGGGCATATCTAGCTTCATTAATTTTCTACCTTTTCCCGAACAATACAGAATAGTGATCATATCGAGTCGCCCTAGAAAAAACAAAATATGTTAAAAAAAAACTACCAATACCGCCGAACACATTTATTTCCAAAATGGGACATTCCAAACTGGCTTCCATTAGAACAGCTTTCACGATATCACAGGCGCATACAGCGTGCTAAGGTTAGCTGTAAGCCCATCCCGAGTGAGCCTTTATGAAGAATGAGACTAGTTAGGGTTGGGCTTTCTCCCCTCGGCAACGCTAAAACTGCAATTTCAATCATTGCAACTTGGCCCCAAAGGGTAAATTTATCAACGCGCCACGGCTCATGAGCGCATTCATATCACGAGGTAATGGCTATTGTGGTAAGGATGTGAGGTAGTATTGACGAGAGATTTCCAAGCATGGTTCTGTAGAACACCTTGTTATTTCTGGTCGGGGCCGTTCAGTGGGAGTAGCTAGCCAAGTTTGCCATAGTGATGCTCGAAAAGAATAGCACGGTAAGGCCTCCTTGCCGGGAAAAGAGAAAGGGTCCCTGGCGAGATTGTTCTGGGTACTATAGTTTGCTAGTGCTGGGGAAGTTATAAAAACCCCCCTCCCCCCTTCCGTGACATGATCTTGTAGGTCCGGACATTGCATCGGCGCAGTTGAAAAGCAGAGAGAGAATCTTTTGCTCTTTTATTCGCTAAACCTCACCTACCTACCTACCTACCTACCTACCTACCTACCTATCATACCTTTGTCCTTCTCTTCTAAAATGCGTTTCCCTAACCTTACTATCACTGCCTTGGGGTGCACCCTCTTTAGCGGGTTGTCCCACTCATTCCCTGACAACGGAGTCCTTGTCCCAAAAACAGATACTACGGCGCCTCTCTCCCAAGCGGACGCAATTCAGATCTGCAAGTCTAAAGAATTCGAATTGGTTGTTGAGAATTGGTTTGTCAGTGAAGCTACAGAATGGCTACAGAATTATACGAACAAGAACAGACACACAAGCAACTACAAGCAACGCGGTATCGTCGGCGCTATTGCCTACGACTACCTTGGCGATACTGGCATGGTCTGTGGCACAAACACCGCATCCCTCTGTAAGTGATACCCTTGACCTCGAAGCTTCTCACCTTCCCATACTGAAGGAAAAAAAAAAACAATTTGTAGGTCAGGTCGACTGTGTCAATCTCGTCAAAAGCATTCCGGATGTACTGGAAGCTCGGAAGGTCTACTTTATCTTGAAGTCTGCTCAGCATCTCAATCTCGTCTTCGATACGGTCCGCGTAAGTGATTATTCCTCTGCTTTAGATATATCTATTAATTAGTGCTGTGCTTTGACAGAAAGACTTGACCGCCGCCCAAGCGAATGTCGCTCTCCTGGCTCCATCGATGGCTAAAGCCTTGCATTGGTCTGAAAATTCTGACTCCGAACGAACCCACGAACTCCTCATCGACTACCTGACCATCTTCATCCAGGCGGTCATCGCATCCGCAACCGCCTGGGTTCCTGGAAGCTCCATCCTCACTTTCGCCGAAGAGTCATGGAAGCTGTCACAAGTCAATGTAGATGCTCTTCAGAATCATATCCGGGAAATCGAATTGGCAACCTACTACCAAGTCGTCGCCGAGCAAATACTCGAAGCACAGCAGGAGGCGAATAGGCGCAAGGAGCTTTACGACCGTCTCCTCGCCCGCGGAGCCAAGAAATTGCTCGCAGACAGGAAATGGTATCAAGCTGCGAGCCCTTGGCTTGGAATTGTGGCGCCGCGGGTGGCTTTCGACGCTGCTAGCAAGTACTCTTTTGAGGGGGCCGAAGGTTCTGTGGAAAGGAACACTGAGAAACTTTTGCTTTACCTCAAGGGAACCGGCGAGTTTACAAGACGTAAGCTCGGGGATGGGGTCGATGAACTTTTCAAAGGCATCGATGTCGACAAGGAAGGTGAGCATTTATATTCCACCCCACCGACATTCCTTCCGGCTTTGATTCCCGATACTAACTAACTATAAATCTTCAGGCGCAACAAGCTTCTCCAAACTAATCGGCTCCGGTGGCTATCTCCCGTCAACCTCCGAGGCTCTCTCCGCATGGACCGGACCTGAAGTTGAAGAAAAGCTCACTCGTAACTTCATGCTGAAGGCACTCGACGCTACCTTCAGATCGCAAGAAATATGGATCACCTGCACCAAGGACTTCAAAACCGTCAAGCCCCGCGCCGACAGCACATCGATCGCCAAGTACCCGACGAACATTTGCCACAAGGACATGTCCGGCCCACAGGATCTCAAGGAATGCGTTGACGGCCACGTCTGCTACATGTATAAGTGGATGAGTAGATCCAATTCGTACTCCAGCCATCGTGTTGAGTACCCCTTCGGAATGCAAGACATCAGGGATGCTCCCTACGATGTTGACCCTAAGGTATATACACACATAGAACCCCTCGCAGCTAAGTATCGCGCTAACAAATAACGTCAGGACGTCATCTATTCCTCCGCCATGACCTACATGGAGCAACACAAGAAAGATGCCGCGCCCCCCAGGCCGCTTTCCCTTGCTTCATTCAAGGATGCCGCGTCCAGCAAAAAGGTCTGGGATGCCCGTCAGCCCGGTTTCTTCACGGTCCCGGTCTGCATGTCCCAGTACAACTTCAACACCCCTATCGAACCCACGGGCAAGACCAGCTGCTTCCTCGGCTCTGACTGCCGCCACAGGACTCTGCCCTGTAACTGCGGCCCCTACGGCAGCGAGACCAAGAGCCTCTGGAAGGATGTCGGCCTGTGGGACCTTCCGGCCGCGAAAAATTACAGGAAGGAGCATTGCCCCCGCCAAATCCGCGAGAGAATTGAGGACAACCTGGAAAAGTACACGGCGCACTGTGGCATTGGGATTCACAACCAGGGTATAGCAAGGAAGAAGGCCATTGGTTCCAATGTTATGTGCGGCCCAATCCTAGAGCAGCTCAAGGAAGCGGATTATCCTCCTCTAGCCACTATGTCGCCGACCCTTAGGACAAGGCTGTTGTGCCTAGCTGGCAAAATCAACAAGAAGAAGTGTGCACAGTTCGGGTCCCTAATCGGACCAGCTAACCGACAAATCTAAGGGGGAGGGGGAGGGGAGGAGGAAATGGGGAGACGACTTAAAACTATTTGAAGGGAGGGCGGGTTGAAAACGCAATCACCGGCAAAAAAAAAAAAATGCATTCTTATTGTACTTGATTAGATTAGATAGATATCGCCTTTTTCGTATTTTAAGTTTTTTAGAATAGAGCGATTTTTATTAATTTTTATCTGGCTGACTGCTTTTCGATGATGTTCCTCGACCAGGGCAGTGAGGCCGTCGCTGTACTGTACTCGTACGAGTACTATACTTAATAAATAAGACCCGGAGCCGTATCTGTGATAGCTCGCTCGCTCCTATCATGGCTCCTTGATCCCTGGCCTTACCTATTCCCGGATCATGGCCAAGACCGATAGAACAACGTTAAAAAAGTACTCTTGGTACTAGTTGGGGTATAGAACATATGGGAAAACTACAGGTAGAAGCATTGGTAAGTTAAGGAATCGGGGGTGTAGTCTGGGATAGGAAATGGTGGTGGTGGAGTATGATATGATACCGAAGAAACACTATAAGAGCCCCTCCTCCACCAGGCCACAATAATGGATCCGTACGATGAGTATGATATCAAATATCATACCGAAGAAGCCGACCGGATTTTGCGCCACACCTATGGTGAGCATGCCTACCGGCCATGAAGGTGGGGGGTGGAGATGAGCTTAGGTCTGATCCTGCTAGACAGGATCCTTTAAGTAATATACCGGTCGTCGGTCGAACCCACAGGTACTCGTACAGTACTCGAGTACTGGTACGAGTACGAGTACTAAGGGTATTCAAAGTTGAAAAACTTGAAAAAACCTAGCTTACTTCACTGTTTCATGTAAGCTTGGCACACCCAGAAACAGTTAATTTACCATTACTTTACTTTACCATACCATACTTTTTTTTTTTTGAGTATCATAGATACCGATATCAAGAGGTCCATATCTACCCCAAAACTCAGTTTAACTGAACTCTACCAGAGCCTAGACTTGATACATAATATGAAAAGAAATTTTATTTTGACTTTTTCCTAACAATAACAGAGATTTTACAGTATTGGTAAGATTGGTGAAAATATCTATACTTTACTCTCAGTTACCTCAATACACTCAAATATGCTACCCAAAACATATGGATGCTACCGGTATTGGCTAACGCCATAAAGTAACCCAACGCAACTTCCCGTGTTTACTCGTTACTGAAAAATCATCTTTTCAACTTCGAATACCCTTACTGTATCATGCTGTACTAGTAAAATTTCTCTTCCATCAGCTCCCCCACTACTCGAGTAGTCTAGTTACTCCGCATCAACATTCTCTACCCTTGTGAGGACTTTTTCCTTTTCGGAGTTTCACAACCTTTAATTCTAACTCAACAGGGTTTGGATCAGTTAAAAGATTTGGCACACAGTATGAATTTCTGTTCCTTCCTACTTTTAGTCTACCAGTGGTTTGCGTTGTTTTTATTTTCCGAGGGGCATCAATCGAGGCTCGCTATTATTATATGGAGAGGGTAGCTGCACAATGAGTAAAACGTGATGATTCAGTACGAAAGCGGTACCGGTATCATAATATTAACTTATAATAATATTTATCATACATAGAACCAACCCCCCCATCTGAGCGGAAAAACTATGATCCGTACAAACACCAATGGCCAACCTCCCGCTCCTGTTTATGATCATACCACCTCCACCCCCAACCGCACACCCACCCAAACCAAACCACCAATACCGGTACTTAATCAAACCCAATTCAGCCTCCTCCTTCAACTAAACCATGTCTAAAAAGCGAAAACACACCTCTGCGCCCTCCTCTTCCTTCACCAAGCACCCGCACCCGCACAAAATGCAAAAACTAACTCCGCAACCCCACCACCACCACCACCACCGAAAACTCAACCACCCCAAATCCAAACACAAACCGATCGCCAAGCAACCCCCACCACCACCGCAAAAACTCCCTACCCTCTTCCACCCCAGCTCGAGAATCCTCCTCCTGGGCGAAGGGGATTTCTCCTTCGCTGCCTCGCTGGTGCGTCACCACCACGTCCGACACTTGACAGCGACGAGCTTAGATAGTGAAGCGGAGTTATTAGAAAAGTACCCGCAGGCAGCGGGGAATATTGCCCTAGTACGGGGGATGGTTGGCGGTGGGGGGGTGGTGGTGCATGGTGTTGATGCCGGGGCAGTGGAGAGAGTTAAAGCTGTGAGGAAGCGGCGTGGGGAGGTTGTGCCTGGGCTGGTGGAGGACGGGGAGAGGGAAGAAGATGGGGAAGAGGGGAGGGAGGAGCCGGGGGGGAGAGGGGCGGTAGGATTCGACGTAATTGCTTTCATGTTCCCGCACATTGGCGGAAAAAGTACGCACCTGGATCGTCAGGTGCGTGATAATCAACGTACTCTAGCCCCCCCTTCCCCGCCATTCATTATCCAACTAACCATACCATCAGAACTCCTCCAATCATTCTTCGCAGCGGCGAAACCTCTCCTGTCACCTCGTGGCGTAATTGTCGTCACATTGTTCGAAGGCAAGCATTACGAGCTCTGGGACATCAAGGGGTTGGCAAGGGCTGTTGGATTTCAGACTCGGACGAGTTTCAAGTTTGTGCCTGAGGATTATCCGGGTTATGCGCATGCCAGGACACTTGGGAATATTAGTGGTGGCGGGCGGTGGAAGGGGGAGGAGAGGGATGCGAGGACCTTCATTTTTGAGGTGGGTGATCGGGAGCGTGATACTGGTAGTGGTAAGCAGAGAAAGAGGAAAAAACGGGACGGTAGCCCCGATGAAGACTGATTTGCCTGATCGATTGAGTTTGTCGAGAAGGGTTTTTTCATGACTTTTAACTGTACTTAACTAATGAAGAAGAGAAAAAAGAAAAATATCGCATACTCCGAGTGAATGATTAAATGAATAGCAAATCAAAAGCTCAGCCCTCGATACACCGTTTATACACTTCGTGAAAACGGAGATTGAACTTAATTCCCGCAATATACAAATGACAAACTATCCTCAACGCAAAATAAAGTGCGAAAAAAGAAAAAAAAGTAATTCCCAGACGAAGCCAGTTCCACCATTTCATCACATTATGAATACCTTCCTGACGGTGCTGCGATCCCATTCTTCTCCCGTAGTGGGGTCTCTAATCTTTTCCTCCGGCAATCCAAGCTTCGATGCTAATTCCTCCAATCTCTCCCGACCGTAAATCCTACCGTTGGGCAGCACCACCGGATCAGGTTCCACAGAGCTCCTAACATGATGGGCGTATGGAACATGTCTGGCCAGATCATTCAGCTCCGTGGAGCAAATGGGACACAAAGAGGTCGTGGAGCTGGCAGTGTTGCTCGAAGATGAAGCCACAGAAGAATGACAAGATGGTGTCTTAAGTGCGGATAACCCCGCCGACAAAGCTATGTGAAGAAGAGGTCGGGAGGGAAGGCCGTATAAGTTGTGGTGAGTATTGACAAATGCGTTGGCGAGAAATTCCCAACGATCCGCTGAATACATGGCCTAAGCTTGGTTAATTTTCAGATCAAACCCAAAAGTTGAAAGATGTTACTCACTTTGTACGGCTGCCATGGGGTATCGGGCCGGAAAGCAAGCAACGCAGCCGCCTTCTGAATGTCCTTGAGGTGGTTCTCCGAATGGGGAACAAGAAACTTTTTCGAGTATGCAGTGGCCTCCTTTGGCTGGCCCGCCCGAACAAGTTCGATGAACTGCTGTAGGCGCAACTCAAACTCAAGAGTACTCTATCTGAAGGATTAGTCATGCTAGCAGAATTTCTCCCCGAGCCCTCCTAATACCTTCATTTTTCGTAGAGAATTCTTATTTTCTTGACACCAAGCCAGGCATTCCACCGTGCTCCCTCTCCGAAGGCTTGCTTCGACCCTAGCGCATTGAACGAAAACATCAACGTCTACCAAATCCTAGAAATGTACCCCATCAGCTTCCCGCCCATCCCCAAGAGCGTACTGCTAGGCAAACCTCAATCTGTTTCTCTTGCGCCAACTTCTTAGCGCTCTCGCCATACCCCGCCCTCAGCAAGAAGTCCACCAACAGCCTATCAAGCCTGGTCCTACTCCACCGGTCATACCCCTCATCCACAAGACTAGGGATATTGTAAAGATCTTGTAGGTGGCTAATCCTCTTCCTGGAGTGCTCCTGCAGGACCTTCTCATCCTCGTGCAGACTTTCTAATTTTCGTTTAAGCCCTTGCATCCGGGTTATCATACTATCTAACGAAGCCACGGGGTCTTCGGGATCTCCGCCCGCCATAGCTTTTGCCGCGGCTTCTTTAACACCAGTCATAATAATATTTTGGTCTCGTTCGAAGTGTTTTTGTGAGGTTTTGAATGTTTTACGGAGGAGTTCGTGGGGGAGGCGAAGGAGGGGTTGGTCCTGATGTTTGTCAGCTCAAGATGCTGGAGTTTGTAGGGTCATGATCTCAGGAGTGGTGCGCACGAGAAGGAGATGGCTCTCCGCATTTAATTTAGTGGTAGACATTGACATAATGGTTATTTGAGGTTTCAGAGGAGACAGCTATCTTTCCTTATAGATTTCAGAACGGGAGATAGGTCGTTCGAGCGGACTCTTGATAGCAAGTAGGGCGGTGCGCGCCGATGAAAGACGAGGGAAGACACTATTTCCTAACTAAGAGCCTTTAGAGCGTTCACTCAGACTTCACTCCTTCTTCGGGTGAGGGGTCAGAAGTACCAGGCCCAAATAGAAAGAAGTAAAAGGTGTTCGGGGGGAAGTATCATATAATTGAGCGGGAGCAGGTTGAGGAGGGGGAGGGAAGAGGTTAGGGCACGAAGCGTGGGATGGAACACCAACTACTCGTATAGTGGCGCCATCAGTCAGCAAACTTGTCTCAAGGAATTATTTATGAGATAGGTTACCGTAACTCATGAACAGTCTATGAATAACTCTACCCGAGTAAGTTACTGCGCAAACTCTGTCCCGGCTGCCGGCTGCCGAACACATCTTTCCAAAGTCGTGCAACATCACTTCCGAACCCTGACCTTCAGCCTTCACTTTACTCGATTTGTCTATTTAATGCATACAAGTGTACAAAACTCCGAAGTATCGATAAATTACCCGTTCCTGGATCATCATAGGCTGCCTATCATCACTGTTTAACATAGATCTTTAGATTCCTGTATCATACAATAACCCATCTACTAGCAAAACAGCGACACCATCATCCAACACCTTTGACTTCCACTTCCACCATGATATTATCGCCGTTATGACACCACGGTAACTAAATTCACACAAATCACTGCCGTTGGTACGGTACTCCTACACCAAGATATGGCATAACCGTGTGGAAATAAACAACTGTGTCCTCATTCTGAGGACACACCATAATAAATACCTCTAGAGTGTAAAGCACAACAAGTCAAACAGCCTTTGCGTCTGGCGTCTTCTGCCTCCACGCTTATCAGTATTTTGTACAAGAAAAGGAGAAGGAAAGGGGCTCTATAAAAGAGAACGTGAAACAATAAAAACAAGTTTACCGCTTGAACCACATCCTAAAGCCTTTTCGCCAAAGAGATACATATAATACAAAGGAGCCCCCCTTCCCTCCACCATCTCCAAGGCCTTTCTCAAGTATTGCCATTGCTACTTACAGTCCGAGAAACAGGAAATTATCGTAATACTATGAACCGACCCAACCGGAACGCGAGAGAAGAATCAAAAAACTGACCCTATGCTAACAAGAAAGGAGAAATATGAGAAATTCACCATCATTGAAACACATGCAGACGCTAACATTGAGAAACTAGTACCTAACGGCTTTCTTTCCGCAGCCACCTATACGCCAATTCCCTGAAGTCCTCCGTAATATCGTCAAAACTTCGGTCGAGTCCCCTCGTAATATTCATCGCATCTTCGACTTCTGCACTGAGAGATGCTATGGGCGAAGATTTCTTTGACTCCGAGGTAGGCTGAATCGGAGTACGTGTCGTCACTAATATCTCTTCTCTCACAGGGTCTTTGACGCCGTTAGGTAGAGCTCCCCCGGCAGACTTCCTCCAGCCCAACTTTTGGGTCTGATAGTCAATATAGCCCCTCTGCATACTTCCAGTTATAATGTGCCGATCGGGTGGTGTTGACTTCCTTCTTTTAGGGCGAGCCGACCCACCACTCTTCTCGTTCTTCGGGGTTTGATCGAGCGGGGGTGGAACAACGAGGTTGGCGAACATTGGTGGGTGGAGGATACGTTTCCGCTTCAAAGACTTCTTTGGCGCCAGAGCCTCTGCGACCGCTGGATTGACCGACTCCAGTACCAACCCGGAGAGCCTCTTCATCGCCGGCGTAAAGTCTACATCGTCGAAAGTTTCTACTAATATAATCTCTTTTCCAATGACTCTGGAACCAAACTCGTTCAAGGCCAGAGCCTCCCGTATCTATATGATTCAGTATTTCCTTCACTTGTAAATACGGTGTTGAGGGGGGGGCATACGGCCGCAAGACGCTTTTCTCGCCCTTCTCCGGACGTTCTATCAGATTCGCCAAAGGGGTCTGCATCGGTCGTATCCAAAGGGGATCGATAGCAGACAATCACAATCGCAAGCTTCTGGAACGAAGTGCACTCCAACATGAATTCAACTGCATCATGGAGGTTCCTCCTATCGCTTTTGAATCTCTCTTCGTTCGAGACATTGTACGACGCGGAACAGCCAAATATAAAACCTCCAGTCTCCTTCACTTGGCCCATATCACCCTGCTCAAGTTTGAGTTGGGCTTCAAAGGTCGCCCTATCAGATATCGCCTTTCGTGGCATCCCTTGGCCCAGAAATTTATTCTTCCACCAGAAGTTTCCGGCGTCTTCGGAATTGGTGTTCACGATGAGGAGGCGCCAGGTCGGATGCTCCCCCTTTCGCGAAGTAGCCCAGAACGCATTCTCAACCTTGGGGTGAAATAGATCCGCGAGCGGTGGTGCTTTAAACATCAGATTAATGTATTTGTGTACCTAAAGCGCAGAGCGTCAGTGAAGTGAAGAAAGAATAACCGGCGAAGTTGGAGAACAACCTCCACAGACGGTGCACCATTATCCGGGAATTGAACCGGGTGCCATTGCGGTGATATCGGCGGGGGAGGGTTCTTTATTCTCTCTTGCCTCAAGCGCTTGAGCCATAGCTTCCGTGACACACGCTTCCATGGAACAAACACCTTTTCCTTTAACCGTGTTTCATGAAAACTCTCGGCTATCGCTTCCTGGACCACATTTGCAGCAATCTTCGATGCTTGTATATCAAGAAAATCGCTGGCGATAGACTCAGCGAGTGCCACTCTGCTGTCCTCCATGACATTTTGAACAACCTCCTTGATTTTCCCTTCCAGAAGTTGATCGAAGAGCGAATCTGCTAACTCCGTTATCCTCGCAGGGGAGTGGAACAGCTTTTTGTTTGTTGGGACGGGATGCGGGGGCTCTGGTGCAGCTGCACTGAATGGCTGGGCTAGGCTAGAAATAGAAGGAACAGCACTATTTTGCTTGAGACCGGACAAACGGCTAGCAAATAAAGACCCTTGATCAATATCACCTGTTGGGGCTGGCCAGGCCTGAGATGACATGGAGGTAGCAGGCGGATAATTATTCACTAGGTCACTAGAGTGTGTATAAGATTGGGTAGCCACATTGTCGGCAAGTTCATCGTCATCCCCTGTATCATCTGGAACATACGGAGGGAAGACGAAAGAAGCTGGAGACGATCGAGACGAGTTTTGAAGGCTATCAAAGACCGAGCCCCCATTTGCTGAGGCCGGCACTGAGTTCGAATCGAACAGTGATGGCGTCTCGGGCTTTTGGAAGAGGCTTGGGAGCGGGGCCGATCCCGAAGGCCGAGAACCCAGAGAGTTGCCGAGGGCAGATGACTGGGCTGATTGTTGAGGAGCCACGGGCGGGAATAAGGGCTGTTTTCGGTCTGCAATAGGTTGAAACACTGAAGCTGTGGCAGAAGGGGCGGCCGGTGAGCCAGGAGAAACAGCGACGGACCCGAACGGCGGCTGAACGGGCGCGGGTGGATCACCCAGCGGCGCAGGCTTCAGCTGAGGTGGAAACTGCGGGTTTAGTGTTGCCGATTCATTGGTAACGGAGTTAAATCCCACTGGTGAACTTGTAGACGTTGGCACAGACGATGTCCCTGTGGCAAATTTCAGAGGACCCACGGCCGGGGGTCCGAATGGATTCTTCTGGGGCGGACCTGTTGAACTAGCTGCAAATGGGCTAGTTCCAGCAGTCAAAGACCCCACAGCGGGGAACTCTCGTGGTACATTACCGAAGACAGAAGAATTGCTTTGAACACCGCCGAACACGTTGTTCATAGCTGCTACAGGTTGGGGGCCGGGGAAACCTGGGGCAATTTCTGAATCCGGGACAGATCCACGACTGCCAAAGCTCCGTATGCCATCCGGATGTAAAGGCTTCGATATGGGAGCAGAACCCAACGCAACCTGAGCAGCTGCAGAAAGTGTGGAGGGACCAAAGGCTGGCTTGCTGCTGAGGTTTGAGAGCTTTGGAAGTGGTTGAGAGCCAAACCCGTTCTGAGAAGTAGGGGGAAATGGAGATACTTGTGGGGTAAGAGCGCTTGGGTCCAGTGTACGCTGATGGGGAGCGCGGCTGAGCAACAATTGTGCTTTGGTCTCGTTCGACATCGCTCCCTCCTTAGGTTCCCAGAGAACATCGGAAATTGACCGCCCCATGAGCTTAGCCTCAACGAATTCATGGAAAGATTGTTTAGTTGGCAGATTATCTAGACCGTGTTCAGTTATTGTCTCTCGTAAGCCCGGATATCAAGGCGAAGTATTACCTGTCCAAGGCCCTTTTCCTTTGTGTATTACCAGATAGCTTTCTGGTTCTTGTCCAGGATCCGGATCCGTCATTGCATAAGATAATCCGTAATTGTCGCAATCTGCCATCAAGGAGGCCTCGTCCTCATATGCCAGTGTCTCCTGAACAAATTTCAACAAAATCTGCTTAGAATCCCTTCTGTATACGCCCCGCATTGCCTTCAATGCATATTTCCGCACCTCACTAAAATGTGTTTCAAGTAAACACGCCATCAAATACGGCACTCTCTCACTCTTGACTAATCTGAAGAACGTTCCAAAATTATTGAAACATGATTCGGTGTTCTTAGTCCCAAGATTGGTTTGTTTTCGATTATTCGCCTGGATAAGAGCAAAGAACTTGAGAGCCATCTGTACAGGAGCCGAGCTGAAGATATTAGACGGCCACCTCTGTGCCTGGCGCTGGAGGTCTGGATCACGGATGTGCGTGATAATCTGATAAGACCTGAACTCTGCCTCATTAACGTAATTATAACCATCCAAGCGCGCATCTTCGTACAATTCCATCAGTGTTGTCAATGTTTTCTGAAGTTGTTCGATTTCCTGTTGCGCTACGAAATGATCGGGGGTATCCTTGGCGAGTTTGTGGAGTGAAAGTATGTGAAACCGGGCAATTATCTCATGGCACTGAACAGTTTCTGCTTTCCGGTAATTCTGCAGGGTGAAATCTTGTCGAATCGCCCGAGTACGATCACGTACGAAAGGATGTGTTTTAGATAATGGGATGTCCCCACCGCATAGGTTGTAAACGAGATATGCCAGTGTCGAGATCAATACCTTGGGTGGTCGAACATCGGAAGGAAGTTGAGCGTCATTTCCAGCCGCCGGTCGATGAAACCGCTTGACAGCATAGTTCCTATCAATCTCACCGGTTCGGGGATCCTATAGATAATTAATGACATACTTTGAGCTTGAGAATGAGATGCTCCCACCAACTCTAGTGGGTCAACGCTGTGTTGGACGCTTCTTTCGACCCGTTCGAATTCCGGGCACATGTCCATACAAGTTCCAACAAAATCAAGCGCATCCTCAAGCCTCTTCGGAACATCTGGGTCGTCGATAGTTCCATTGGCAATCGCATCTCGTCTCTCTCTGACACGATCATTTTTCATCTGTACCAAAGTCAATATTGGGTTCGCTTGTAAATTGGATTTGATACCAACATACTCTTTCGAAGAGCGCCATTGTGGGAGCCTTGTCAGAAAACCTCTCGGCTCTAGCACTTTTAGCCGCATCCTTATCTCGAGGATTTTCTCCATTGAAAGATCCTGCACTATCAGTGAACTGAGCCACAGCGCCTTCGTCCCCAGAAACATCGGACTCATCCCCACCAGAGGGAGCTGGGCTACCCCGTTGGTAGCCTCCCCTACCACCCCTAACTCCTCCCCGACTACCTCGGCCGCCTCTGCCAGGGGTAGGTTTGCTAGATGGGCCACCGAAAGGATTTCCACCAAGCGGAGGCCCACCAGATGCGGCCCCAAACGCGCCTTTGCCACGGCCTCTTGAACTAACATCACCTCTCCCCCTACGAGCAGTCCCAGGGCGACCATTGGGCTCCATCCGACCGGTAATGTAAGAACTCAACCCTACCCCCTCCTGAGCATTCCCGTTCGGGGAGACGTACCTCTGACTGACGGGTCTTAGGTTGGGTTGCCTAGTTTGCTGTTGGTTTTGCTGCTCTCGTGGCTCTCCTGCGTGGCTTGGGAATCCCGAGTTTCTGGCTGAAGAGCTATCGTTTTGCTGGCTCGAGCGGTTCTGTTGGGCGCTGTTCCGCTGGCGATGTCGACTTGGAAGCCGGTTTCCCCGTGAAGAGTGTGAGGTGTTGAATCTCGGGCTGTGATTTTCTCTGCCGTTGGTGCGCCCGGGGGTGCTTCCTGGGGCGTCGAGTGTCGCGTTTCCGCTGCCGCCGAAGGCCCTGGGCATCTTGGGCTGCGTTGACATCTAAGTATAGGCTATGAAATACGCTCTGGAAGAGCACAACTAATACCGGTAGTGTGGCGTAAGTCTCAGCCGAACTTGCGTTGTTGTGGCTGAAAGAAACCTACTGGTATGATGGACACAAGAAAACAGAGAAAACAGAGAAAGAGGACCGCAAGGTTTAAAGAACAAGATTTAGGAGCGAAGAGTATAAATGGGAAAGGGAAATAAGATGAATGAGCTCGAGGGATGGAGGAGGAGGAAGGGATATGATACCAACTTGAATGGGATACCAACTGAATGGGATACCAACTCGAATGGGAACAAGAAACGGGGGTGACAAGGAAAATTCAAGCCCTGTGATTCACTGAGAAAATTTAATGATATGGAATTAAAAACCCTACTGCCAAGCAATACGGAACGCGACTTTCGACGGGGCTCTTTGAGTACTGGATTCGATCTCATATGATCACTATTACGATAACGTCGTGACAAGGTCCCTTACCCATAGGAAGGACCTGCTTCACTTCGCAAGGGCTAGCCATCGCTGTGGTACGAGAAATTCTATGATAATTATCTCAACAGTCCCCCCATTCTTTCTATGGCCACCCTTTAAACCTTAAAATTGTGATTTGCTTCATAATGTATCACTCGCCATCGGTATTTATTTAAGGATGAGCCAGGGTTTGTGCTGTAGTCTACACCTCTGTTGCAAGTCGGGTCAACTTTGCTTTGTTTCTCCCAGAGTGAATTGCACCGCACCTAGGGCCGAAAATTAGAGTAAATGGGTTCAACTCCCATTTTACAAATGTATCATAGCGATTTCCCTCACCACTTATCACACCACCAAAGTCAAAGAGTAGATAAGTGTGGAGCTCCATTGCGCATATTTTTTTATGGGTGCTTGAAAAATAAAGACGCGCTTCACACCAGCAAACTAGATCCGATCCCGACTTTCGAGCCATTGTAATAGGCTTCCACATACCGGCATCTTCCAGACTTCATAGCTCAGTTATCGGTAGACTATTTATTAAAAACAATGGCAAAGCCTAGGATGGGTTTTGATATTCTAGCTTTCATCTTGTGATACTGAGGGGCTGATGATTTGCTCCCTGTCGCACATTACTCGAGCAATAAACTCCGAGAATTTTATTGTTAAAGCGATGCAACCTCACAGGAAGGTGTATAGAGGCGAGTCAAGCAACTGTAACGAAAGGAAATGAGGTGACCTCCATGCTCAAATTGGTGTGGTCTCACGTTTCAACCATTTTGAAGCCAAGCTATCTTTTTCAAAAAACCCGTGCGTTTTTTCGAAAACCTCCGCGTGGTAAGAATTTAGCCATTCAGTCTCAGCCGGTGTCAGAAGGCCGGCGTCGATAAGCTTTCTGCACATAGGAACCTGCAACCATTACCATTAGTGAATACGCATATTCTATGATAGGGCCGGTACAACTAACCATCGTAACACGCTCGAAGCCAAAGTATCTAAGTGAGATTAGCACTTCATACATATATAACTTCGTCCTTAAAACTTGAGACTTACGGCCTATCGCCAAAGCTGTGACTGGTCTTGACCTCTTTTACCATGATTATATCTGTGATTCTGTCAGAAAAAATGAGTTCAACACGAAAGACCAAACCTACTCTCAATACGGATCCCGAAGGACCCATCCTCGTAATATCCAGGTTCTGGAGTTGTATTAATTTACGGCGACAATTTTTGATGGAACAAAGATTGACAAACCATTGGATACAAACATCCCCGGACTGAGGGCAACCTCCGAATACTGAATCCTCGTGCCTATCCCGAAGGGTCCCTCGTGGACATTCTGTCTCACGTCAGGAAATGGCGCCACGTCACCAGGAGGGGACAAATCACCAAAAATGACCCAACACCATGGCCTGTACCGTGACGATAATCTAGTCCCTCGCTCCACAAGAATTGGCGCGCCAGAATATCTAGAGCAAACCCACTCGTGCCTTTCGGAAAGATAGCTCTATCCAAAGCAATCATGCCTTTCAAGACAAGTGTGTAGGACTTTCTCTCCATATCCGTAGGCTCGCCAAAATGAAGAGTGCGAGTCGTGTCAGTGGTACCATCCAGATACTGAGCACCAGAATCGCACAGGTAAATTGCTTTAGGGTCGATTACTGAGCAATTTCCTGCCTCTGGTTTGTAATGAATGACAGCTGCGTTAGGTCCTGTTGAAGAAATAGTATCAAAGGACAACCCCATGAAGTTTTCCCCTCTAGATCTGATCTGCTCTAACTTATCGGCGGCTTGTACCTCGTCAATCTTAGTTCCTTTTAAAAGTTCATCTTCCAACCACGCGAAGTACTCTGTCAGGGCAGCGCCATCACGAATGTGGCATCTCTTCATCCCCTCCTTTTCGGTGTCATTCTTGACTGCTTTCTCTTCCTCGACGGGAGATCTGATTACTTCAATAGCATCATCACCACCAAGTGCTTTTGATAAAGCCCAAGAAGTCTTGTTTGATACCAACCACTTCCCGCCATCCTCGCTTGCCTTGGAGTCCGTTTCAGGCTGCCCCACCTTGAGCTTCTGCGCTAACAAATCAATTTCGTCGAAGATCTCATGGTAAGGACGAATTTTAACGGCAGAGCCCAGGTGGGCTATGACTTTTTCATCTAGCTTCGAAGAGTCGATATAAAGAGTCGTAGATTCCGGGGAAATGAAAGCGTAGGAGAAGAAAACGGGATTGTAAGGGATGCTTTAGAGGGGGATCATTTGTTAACAAAAGGCAACTCAAAACCCCGAGCCCCCCCCAAGAAAAGCGAGTGAATGGGTCAGGCAGACCGAAGGCCGAAAGGCCCGGAGACTCACTCAGTTCCTCGAAGATTAAATAGCCATGCAATCTCATCAAGCATGCTTACTACAAACCCAGGGCTCTTCTTATTTTCCAATTCCTTCCGAACCGCCTCAATCTTAAGAGGGAACTCCTTTCCGGAATATTTCTCATCGAGCACCATCACTGGATTGTTCGGCCTATTTGGTCTATCAGCGCCCCAGACCTCATCGATAAGATTATTTGGTATCCCAAGCAAGCTGGTTCCCCCTTTCTTCTTTATTCTCGTCTCAAGACTCTTCGCTTGCTCTTGTCATTGTGTCAGTATACACAACCCACATGCATCAGGGTCAACAAGAGTATACAGTAAGCATGGAGAAATGGGGCTATATATCATACGAGCAGTTATAACCGTGGCATCGACACCCACATTTTTCCCCCCTTCTGCTTGCTGCGCAACCCTATTTTAGTTCACACTGATCAGCAGTAGATCAAGTAGCAGGTTGAGCATTGCACTCTACTCACCACTCCTGCCAGGTGGGAACATCCGGAAGACCCTGCTTGAGGAGCTCCCAGTTCTCATCCAATTGACGGGCTGCCTGATTAAAGTAGCGGCCATCTGTAGATAATGCTGCCTTTTCCTGTGTGACAATTGCGCATCCAGCCGATCCAGTAAATCCGGAGATAAAAGCTACCCCAGTCGTGGGTTAGATAGACGTGATCAAATTCTCTAATGGAACAAAAAAAAAAACACCTCTCCGAGCATCCGCAGCACAAATATACTCGCTACTGTGTGCATCCTCACTAGGGACAACTATACGAGACAATACCGGGTGAGCTTATAATTACCTTATACCCTGGGGGCGGACTCCTCAGAAATCACAAACATACCATAAACATCAACCCTCTCTCTCTTCATAAGTTCTCTCAGCTTTGCAAGGCGAGAAGTAGTGTCGACGGTCTCCATATCGTTAGTGAGTGCGGAAAAAAGTCTAAAATTCGAATGTGTGGAAAGGGGAACGAATGAATTTGGGCGGCGGAAGGGACGTGACAGCAACCGTGCAAAGCATGTTAGGGTGGGAGGGGCTGGCATTTGGATGCGGGGCTCAGTTGGTCAGGATCGCCAGAGTTTAGTTGGATGCGCCAGCGTAGTAACTGCCTACAAATCCGGCAGCCCTAGAGCACGGTTGCTGCCGACGGTTTGGCTCAACCACGGCTTACGATACCGCACGCCGGCACAGCATTGTGTCTACATCAGAAGGATTGTACTTGTATGCTATTACAAGCAGCGATAAAGTTACAGTTCCTTGATAACCAGGTGCAGGGCCACTGGATACCAACAACTGTAAATATATTTCCGGTATTCCGTCTGCCAGCCTGTCACCGAGCAACAGCCAAAAAATCGCGAACCACGGCAAGGCACAGTATGATAGTTGCTTTGCCTGACCAAGCTCCGTACTCGAGTAGATGATTTCCAGTAAAAAATGGCCACCTATATAGGACACATTTTCTAAATTTCGGCTGGCTATATCTCAACACCAAAACAGACGGAAAATCTCACGAATAGACATTGCCCCGTATACGGGTCGATTTCCATCCAGTTTCACACGGGTAGGGGCGGAATACTTGCTTTGTTATTGGTGGCTGAAACCTGGAAATTTGGAAGTTTACGCCGGCCTGTAAGAGAAGTCAGCTATCTGAATATGCCAAGTTCTCGAGAGCAGCACAGTGTTGACACCGGTGCAGTACGTACGAGCATTGTACAATACCGTACAGTACAGCGCAAGAAAAATGTATCATTGGTGTTGTGCATTAGGAAATCTCATGTGCCATGCACTCCTTTGCTGTTAGCAATATCTCCAACATCACTCACCTCATGAGACAGATATCTTTTCACCACAATCTTGTCATAAGGGTACTCGCATACACCGTATTATGATACAAACGAGAAAAGGAGAATCAGACTTCGTACCGCAAGCACATACGACAGCCAACCTGTCAGCACTGCTGTAGGGCCTCTCTTGGATACCGCGACGGCAACTTTCTCTAATTGACTCTTAAGCAAAAGTAGCTATGGGAGGGCAAGTATCGCATGCAACCCTTCAAATGCCGTAGCGGGGCGGACGATAACGAAGTAGAGTGATATAAAGTGACTTAAATATAGAGGTCATGCCCTCGTCCCCTAGGAGAGACTGCTAGTAGTCTACTCGAGTACCGGTATACCATTCACCGCTCCTTCCCTACTCGCACAGGTACTGTGAGGTACATTTTCGGGTTACATGCCGGCATCCTTGTCCTGCTGCACTGCATTTTATGGGGAAATAAATGGCTTAGCGATAGGAAAACTGCAACCAGTTTGTACTGTACAAGCACCATGCACCTTGCTGTACGAGTGCTGTACCCATATGGTAGCAGAATCGAGCATCCTACCTTATCCCTATGAGCCATGCCGGTAGCTTACTCGTACCTTAACATATCTATAATTATGATTATGATATATAATAATAATACTACTTGTATTGTGATAATTATTATCACACAAGCGAGGACGCCACAAACTCGTGAAACTATATTGGTACTTGCATCATACCGGTACTATCATAATTATAAGTTGGAGGATGTTGCTGGTTGTACAGTACTCGGTACAGTGGGGGTGGCGTGCCAATCAACACGCGGCTCAGGGATAGGAAAGCAGGTTGCCGTGGTTGGAGCCCTCACATCTCAACCATAAGTTAATGCCCCACCAACACGTTTTCTTAACGTTTACCATGAATTTCTTTCACCATCTCTACTCTTGATCATTCACTTTCTCTTCTTCCATCCTCCTTGTGCGCGGATATTTCCTTGGCCACACATTCCCACCCCACGGGCACTCCTGTTCTATTCAACTTCTGAATGGAGTCCTGTCCCTATCCATCTTCCTTGGAGGAGGTGGTCACCGTAAGAATCTCCCCTACCCTGAGATTCCTCCGCAATGGTTGTGTGTGACTGATAGACCGTGATAGCTCGTTAGACGTCTCTACCAACCAGGGTCTCCCCAAGTTCTCTCACAAATCCAAGAGACCCTTCAAGCTGTCCAGCGTTCTCAGGATGGGTGGAAGTTGGCAGATTCGTTGCTTGCCATAAACGACCAACACGTGCAATTCTTTGGAGCCCTCACTTTCACTGTCAAACTTAACTCTGACAGGTCTATATAATCCCGCTCAACAATATCCTTTAAAGCCTGGAAGTTGACATGACTGAGTGTAGCGCATCTTTATCTCCCAAAGACATTCCAATTCTAAGAGACCGGCTCATCGACTGGCTAGTTCGTTTTAATTCCCTCGGATTGGCCCAATTAGTTGTCAGGAAACTGTGTTCAACTTTAGTCGTCTTTTTTATACGGTTTCCACACTATTGGGATGACTGCATCCGTCATATGATTTGTTCACTATGCCTCGGTCGTTTTGTTTCTGCTGCCGAGCTTCCCCAACTTCCTCCCTCAGGAAAACTCCTAAAGGTAGCAGAACCTAGAATGAAAATCACAGCACTATGGTTCTCGGCTATTTTGGTAGAAGAAGTAGGCAAAGTTGACTCCAGAAACGTAAAAAAGTGAGTCACTACAGCAGTTATAATCGTTGCAACAGGCAAGGCTAACATCTAGACGGCACACAGCTACCATTTTCACAACAGGATACAGTCGAACATTGAGGAGGCCGTCTCGTTGATAGGCGATGCGATCGAGATGCGAAATCCCAATGACTGTAAGATGGTATTCCTCTCATATCTAATAAGATACTAATGAACACAGCTTCTGGAATCGCATCAGGAACATTCGATCCACGTCTTGTCAACGAAGGAATGAAAACCTTCCAGGTGCACTATCACTTCTTTATCCTTGCTATTATTAGTCTGTGCAGGAAGCTAAACGTTTGCGAAGTCATGGGTTTTTCACTCTCTACGCTCCCAGTCTGACTCGCCCCATACATTCTCGGAGTTGAAGCGTCTGACAACCCGCGTTATCAATTGGCTAGCCTGCTCGGATACGTTCGAGAGCACATGCGAGGCAATAACAGATATCCTCACTAATTACTTCGCATTTCTTACGCCCGCAGATGAGGCCTGCTTGGCAAACATAATTACCTCACCTTGGGCCTTGAGTCGATACGAAGAGTTCACCTCAGGTGACGGGGACTGGGGAGGGCTCCAATTTGGCCGACTTTTAGTAGCCTTTGCAGAAGCTACTGTCCAAAAGCTCATACGCGATGCCAGTAGCCCCCACACCAGGGCTCTACTCCAAATGTTGCATGGAATGGTTAAGGTCCCTGGCTATCCTATGGCCGAGGAAGAAATTTCAGGCACTACCTTTGAATTTTGGAGTAGCCTAGCTGAGTTCTTGCTAGACCCGGAAAATGTAGCAGAGTCAGATATCGCACCCTTGATGGCAGCTGGAAAAAAGGAGATTATGCAAGCAATTGAAGAATTCTGGACGAAAATACAAATACCCCCACATACCGAATCTCTAAAATGGACGAAGGATTTCAGGGACGGATTTACGAGTTTCCGGAAAGACGTTGCTGATCTGGTTGAGGTGGCATATGGAATCCTGGGCCTTGAGTTATTTGACCGCCTGATTAGCCAGGTTATCATTGCTCTGGGAAATAGTCAGGTCGGGGGAGCTGTCGCCTGGGAACAGATAGAAGCAAGTCTATTTTGTCTCAATTCTTTGAGCGATTGTTTGGGTGATGAGCCGGAAGAAGACGAGTCATTGAAAGTGCTCTTCCAGAGTAAGCTATTTAATACCTTAGCAGACTTCGGAAACCAAATTCCTCTGAAAGTCAGACAAACAGCTGTCCATATGATCGGTTCGTCGTTCCAGTAAGCATTTTTTGTAGTGGGAGGCTAACCGTTTTCGAAGGATCATACGCGGTATTTTTCGAGAGGTGGGCTAATTTCTTACCAACTGTATTAAACTTTCTATTTGTGGCAATATCAACCCCTGCTCTAGCTCGGAATGCCTCGAAGTCGATAAGCTCCCTGTGTTCATCTTGCCGTAGTACACTCACTAGCGAGCTATCCGTATTCCTTTATCAATACGAGCTGTTTTCTGCTACACCCACAGCAGACGACATTGCTAAAGAGCGTGTTCTGTGCGCAATATCCTATGTTATACAAGCTTTACCATCAGAAAGCCAAAAACTAGACTCTATTAGCAGAATGCTAGAGTTTGTGGACAAGGATGTTCAGCAATTTCTTACAATTCTGCATCGACACCCAGAAGCAGCTAAAGAGCTAGGAGTATCTACTCTGCAGTGCTTAGTAGCAATTGGCAAAGGGTTGCAAGCTCCGGACGATATTCCGATAATCCTAGCTGGTGAAGATGGAGGACAGGTGCCACCTTCGTTCTGGGAGCAAGAGAGAGGGCTAGCGGTCCAGACGAGAATACTACATATTCTCCAAACATTGGTCGGTAGTCTAACTGAGGATGGGGAGATAATTGATGCTGCCTGTGCTGTTTTCCGAACAGGCTTCGCAGAGACAACTCCTGGTCCCTTTGTATTCCCAGCGGCAGTAGTTACTAAATTTCTCTTGGAGAGGGCAAATTGTGGCGTCCGGGTAGAAACCGTGCTGTCAACCGCCAGTACCATGGTCAGCTCTCACTCGTTAGATGGCAGTCCAGACATTTCCACTGAAGTTGGTTTTTTCCTAGAATTAATTTTGGGACTTGTTGAACGACTCCAGAATCCTCAAGAGGACCCCGAAGTGTCGCAGGGTTTGGTCGAGTTTCTAAACAGGCTATTCTCCAGGTATATCACTGTAATTGCCTGCTACCAGCCCAAGGAACGAATTGAGATGCTCCTCTGGTTCGTCATGAACGCATTACAGGTTCGGGAGACATTGGTTAAGAAGGCGGCATGCACGTTCTGGGCATCGCTCGTCTCTTTCGCTGCGGATGACCGTCCAGAACTCCAGGCCAGGATCAACTCATTTGTCCACATGTGCGGACCCAACCTAGCAGAGAAACTCATTTGGGTGAGGTTTCTCCATTTCGCCCCAATAGAGCCAACTAACAATAATACGAGCAGGGCATCGGGGGCGGAGCTTCGAGAAGTGAAGTTGATAGTCTCACGGAACCCCTCAAGAAGATGATAGCTCGCCAGGTCAAAGCTAAGACATGGCTATCGGCGTCCTTACTACGAAATGGCTTCCCATCCCCGAACCTTTCAGAAAAGGACAAAACTATTTTCTTAAATAAAATAATGACGTGTGTGCCCCCCTCCTGCTCCTGCTCCAGATCACAAGACTAATGTCCCCGCTATCAGCCTGAGAGGAAAACGCGGTACGAACCAAATTGCTAAAGAATTCTGGTTGAGCTCGAGGGGCAGTGACTTTGCCTGTTAGTAGCGCATGCCATATACAGCCTCCCTTTCGAGTGCCGCGCAGAGTAGCTAACACCATAAATCAACCAGATACTTCATAAACCTGTCTCACATCTACCCGTAGTAGCTTTAATTACCTCTATCCAGCGGAATTCCCAACGACAACAGCATCTCCCGGAGTTTTTTGTTTTCATTTCCAGAAAAAAATGATTCGCTATAATCATAAAATCATAAACTATTCACTTTTTCCCCAATCAGGTACGGTATGACAGTGCTATTAGTGACTTAACCCCTGGGTATTATTCCATTGTGGATGGTGTCACATGGAAGGCTATGTTACCAAGTTCAGTGTGCTGGAAGTGATTGCGTGCCTATGAAATGCAAAAAGTGACCGAAAACGAGTGCTAATGAGTAAAAATATGGCCAAAAGGGGCTATCCGTAATATGGCTACAATAAGAAGCCCCAATGGGTCCATTAAAATTAATGACTCCAAAAAGCCACATCTGGAGGGCAGGCAGCACTACTTCACCCACCGGTGATTCCCCCCCAGGATTTTTTCTACGTAGAAGTCTTCCCCTAATCACGAGGGCAGCACTCACCACTGAGTCGGAAATACTTCATTCATGGTGGTCAGATTATTGCTTACCGAAAGTCGTTTGCACAAAGAGTGTCAACTTCTCCACCACCTATCACTCGATATCTAAGAAACTGCAATTAATGGCAGTGCATAACTATTATGAATAAAACACAATCAATTAACAAAACGGCAACCCAGCACCAATACACCAGTCCATAACCGCAACAAAACCTACATTGCAATCTGCAAGGATACCACAGCTCATCCGATGGTTTGTCCGGAATCTATTTAAATACCCATCACACCCATAACTCGTTGCAATTCAAAAAAAAGTCGTATTCTGAGACTTCTTGTAGATATTTGCCACCACTCCCACCCTCCCACCACCCGATTCCATCCCATCCCAGAACCCCCGTAAAATGGCAGATCTAGAGAAGATATCTTATACAAGAAGCATAAGAAAGTGAAGGGAAAAAAGAAAAGAAAAAAGACAACCTTTTGGTTATAACAATCCCGAAAAGTAAATCAAATTGCCTTTTTTTTTATGAAATGAACTGCCCAAGGCCAGACATGTCACCTTCTTTAGCAGCAATTTCGAAGTATCCGTAGATGATACTGTAAAAAGGCTAGTTAGCAATCCTGCTGCATAATGCTAAGAGGCGGTACAATAGTTACGCACGTGACAGCCAACAGGATACCAGTTCCGGATCCAAGAGCTCCCAAGAGATCAGAGGCAACAGACAAAGCACCAATGCAAGCACCGCCGAAAGCAGCGGCAACTGGGATAACCCTCTTCAATTCCTTGTACATACTCTGTTCACGGTGGCCAGCCATAACGAGACCTTGTTCCTTGAGCTGCTTAGCAACATCGCGGGGGCTGGAGCCAGAAACCTCAATCCAGGTCTTGGAGAACATGGCACAGGCAGTGAGCATAAAGAGGATGTAGAATGCGGTGTGTAAGGGATCCAAGAGAGCATCGGTAAAGTTAAGAGGAGGAGACATGTAGTATGAGATGCCAGAGACGGCGTAGAGCTGAGCAGAACCCTCCTTTGGCTCCCAAACACCGAGGAGACGAACCAACAAATTATCCGGGAGACGATTGTACAACATCTGGGAGACGAGGAAAACGTTGGAGCTCAACGCAGACTGTAGCATGATAGGCATGTTGCTAGTGTAGAAGAGGCGAACTGGGTAAGTACCCCGGGTTCCACGGTAACGGCTAGACTTGACAGGGATCTCGACACGGAAACCTTGGAGGTAGATGACTGAGGCGAAAATGACAAGAGTGGCCAAAAGATTCATGACATTGGGAAGATTCTGCCTGTAGAAAGCCTCACGAAGGGCACGTTGCTTGTTATCCCAGGTCAAAAGCAGATGGAACAAGGCAATAACGGCGCCCTCGAATTCGGGACCGCGGCCAGTGTTGACAGTGGTAGGGGAGAATGCCTTCCAGATGATGCTTTCGCAGATATTAGTAGCAATGAACAACGAGATTCCAGACCCCAACCCATAACCCTTCTGGAGAAGCTCGTCAAGGAGGATAACAATGAGACCGGCGACAACAAGTTGAAGCACAAGAAGGAGGCAAACACCGGCACCAAGATCACTGGGCTGTCCATAGAGACCGGTCAAAACATAAACAGTGGCCTGTCCAAGAGAGAGGATAATGGCGAACACTGGGAGCAAGCGTCAGATGCCAAATATGCAAGGACAGAGCGAGGCATGAGTACAAACATTTTTGAGCAGTTTGGTAGAGCTCGCGATCAGATTTAAGATCGAGGTTAACATCAATCAAGTGAGTGCCAGCGAGAAGCTGGAAAACCATGCCAGAAGATATAATAGGGGATATTCCCAACTCCATCAAAGTTCCACGATTACTGGCCAACATCATTCTGAGCCAGTACAAGGGATCAGATGTATCCGAGGACACAATTCCGTATAATCTAACCAAATCGATACCGCGTCAGTCCTGTGAAACATATATAGTGAATCTGGAGAGAACTCACGGCATTTGGCTCATTACTAGGAAAATGAGCAACGTCAACTATTCAAAAGAAAAAGATTAATTCCTTCCTCTTTGCCCTCTAATCTACCAAACCCAGGAAATGGGGGAAAAGAGCTCACCCCAGTCCACATCATACGCTGCCTAAACGGTGTTTTGCGTTCGGGGCTCGCCACCTCTGGGAGGATTGGCACGAACGGCTTGATGAGATCGAGAAAGCGTACTGTGAAAAAAACATGTCCTGTCAGTTAAGGTTCCCGGGGCAATATTATCTCTATTGTCGCTTAGGCAAGGGAAGGCTCATGAAATAATTCTTGTACAGAAGGGGTACTAACTGCCACTCATGATTGCGAAATTATTAAGAGAGGCCTATAGGAAATAAAGGAGAGACAGAGAAGGGGGAGGGGGAGGGGGAGGGGGAGTTTCTCCTCAAGAAAAAAGGGAGAAATGGATGGAAGTTGGTGAGTTGAAGAAGTTGTGAGCTTGAATGGAGAAAAGGAGAGAAGGTTGTTCAGGAGAATTTCTTTGGGGGGGGTTTTTCTAGCTACGAGGCAACGGGGGAGTTGAGGCCACATCTCTCTCATTGCAGCGAATAAGTCCACGGTAGACATCTGTCTCTCCACCTTTTTTCTTACCCCTGCGGCTGCTGTCCCAGAGATTATATATGAATTAAATTTACCTTGTGGCTCACTTTTTCCCTCCATGCTAAAGGCACTCTTTACCAGCGTTATTTCCCCTCCATTTCCACCTTTTGTCATCTTCCCCCCCAAGTTAACTTATCTACTTGTGCTCGCCAAGTACCAGCACGGTACTATGGGAGACCTCTTGTGTAAGGTGGTGAGGGGGGTTGTTGATCTTCTCTGGATAGAGTACAAACCACGAGGCTTAAATAAATACCTGACAGAGACCCACTCCAAGCCTCTCACATATTGAGACCGCGTCCTCTGGTCGTAATTGGCTGTGCGGCCATCTGCGAGTCCGACAGTACCAGTGCTCGAGCACAGTAGGCGTTCCTCAATCAATCAAGCCAGAGCGTTCTCTTCGAAGCCTAGTCTACAATGCACTACAACACCATACGTGACCTTCTTCATTCTTTATCACTCGATATGATCTTAAATGATGTTCCGGACAGCCCCAAAGCAGCATCTTGAAGCTGTAAACAGACTCTTGGAGCCAGGTTTGGCTCCATGACCAGATGTTCTGTATTCCCTTTGGAGACATCTTTTCACCAAGTAGAAGAACCTTGCAAACTCCATAAAGGACAGCTTTTCACACACCAAGCCAACTTAAAATACCTGAAGCCAACATACCCTATAATGCTTCAGACTCAGATGCCAGTAAGATCACACTAGCTCGTTTACCGGATAATCTTTTTCATAAAGCTAACATAATCTAAAAAAAATAAAGCATATCTTTTACCAAGTTAGGTGCTCCTGCAAAACCCATAAAACTTGAATACACCAAGCCTGGGCATATTATTGTTAAGCTAAATATCAATACTCAAGACAAGCTGTATTGTATTTTTGTATTTTTACACAAAGCTGCCATAATATTATTTACTGAAAGAATATTTTCACCAGGTTAGGTACCCCTATAAAATCCATAAAACTTGTATTATTATTTTGACATAAAGCCTAAGCATTTTTTTTGTCAAGATAGATATGATACTTCTGTAAAACTAAAGCAAAGTTGTATTGTATTTTTATGCAAAGCTGCTATAATATTATAAAAAATATTCTTCACCAAGTGATGCATCTCAGGAAAACCCATACAACAAGTGTAGGTATTTTTCTATATCTGTTAGGCGGAGACAATCAGATAGACTTCAGAGTTGTCTAGGCCAATCAAAATTCGTTTCGGTAGACAGAGATTGTCTGGGAAGGCTCGGACTTCACTTGTTTTGTTTGTGACTACAAAGAGTGAAGTAGAATAGGTAAGGTAAGATAGAATCATGAAACAATATTATATTATTAAGATCTCTTCTCCATTGCTTGATGATGGCTAAAGCTTGGAGGCACTTTGATATTTATATTCCGCGTCTGAGTGTTCGCAGACTACATCTACCTATTATACAACTATATATCTCTCTGATTATAACTCGCAACATCAGGTATTCTTTAAAGATACGAACACTTGTAGACTCTGAAAACCATCATACCCTGTTCAGTAATTACGATATGACTATCTAGGAACTATGTTGTTCCCAATAGTAATATCCTGATCATTAGAGTCTTTAGACTTATGGCCTAGTTCTTAAGTCAAACTGAGTTGGCCCTAATTGTATTCGACATTAATGAAATGAACAGTTTCATCTGCGACTGTATCTGCAAAAGGTAGTTGTCATTATAACCCTCTTAGGTTGCCTGACTTCAATCCTTCATAACTCCTTACTCAACAGATAGATATTTTCTGAAGGACTTCCTACTAATTTGCAGGAAGCTATTTCACCAGATTGACAATTAATCCCTCTGTCTGCAACCCTTGGTTGCTCTGGGTAATGGGGTTTCAATCGCCGTCGTAGTATTGGGAAACACCCTCACGGCTACAACATGTTCTGAAACCCAGTTGTAATACTCTGTGAAGACCATTGGCTTCCGTGGTAGTATCCTTCAGAGTTCTAAACTCTTCTAATGGATGCGAATGTATTGGTTTCTTGTTGAGATCCATCACCATTCGATACCATCTCTTTGTGCGAAATCGTCCTGTTACCTACGGCTCACAGCAAAGATGCTACATATTTGAAGCCTATTAACTCTCTGAGTAGTTGACGGAATTACTCTGTTCCACTTCACAGACCTAGCCAAAGGTCTCCCTCTTATATATCCTATGAACAGGATCTGGTCGGATAGACGGTGGTAAAGTATATGTTATTATTCTGACACCTTCAATACTGTGGTATTAAAGTCACAGGATGCAATTGAGATTGATATGTATGATAACGTGCAGGCCCCGTAAAGGGGCTGGACGGGGGTGTTGGAGACCAGAGATTCCGATTCTGAGTGGGGTTACCCTACTTAGAGTGGTTCCTAGGTATCGAATCCTGGTATTCCTAACATGAGCTCCCTTCTCTTAAAGCTTCATCCCAAATGTCTTTTGGTACATATAAAACAAATTAAAAATTAAAAATTAAATTAAAACAATTAACATTTAAACCTTAAATATTAACTTCTTTAGGACCAGATGAGAGCAGGGTAAAAAACCTCCTGCATTTACTTGGCCATGGTAGGAAAACCTTTTTCTCACAGTGCTTCTTCTACTCGCCATGGCATTTCCAGGTTATTACGGTGAAATTCTTCCACCATTTCCCTCGCATTGTCCATGCCAGTAGCAGGTTCCCAGGTATTCTCGTCTTCGGAACAACCTTGCTGTTTAACAAACTACCATAGTTTGCGTACCTCCTGGTAGCGACCGAGTACTCTCTTTCGATAAGAGCATATTTTGCTTCTCACGATTTACTCTATTCCCTATTGTAAGTTGCTCTCAATATCCTCAAGCTCTCTGGGGGGTTGTTGTCAGTCCTCGCGTATTGACTCTCTGTAAGTTTCCCACTGAGATACATGGTATACTAGATGTATATTCCATCGATTTGAAATATTGAGTTTACAGGCACGGTTTCCTCGTTTCTCCAAGATCACGAAGGGTCTGTATAATTTTGGACTGAGTTTTCTCAACTTCCAACATGTATGAATGTTCATTGCGTTTAACATTACTTTATCACCTATTTTGAAGTCAGGTTGTTGCTTAGCCTTCCTATAATGGTACTTGGTTAAAGCTTCTCATGTCTGAGGGAGTGATTCTCTTGCTTGCTTGTGGATTGTCTTTATCCAGTTTGCGTAAAGTATGGCTCATGGATTTTGCACTTCACATTTCTTCATCTATAGTTTGCATAGAAAGGGGTCATTCTATGTGCATTGATTGCTGAGTTATTGTAAGCATGTTTGACTAGAGGTAACAGTTGGTACCAGTGGTCCTGATCATAGTTGACGAAACTTTACAGGTAACCTTCCAGCACCTGGTTGGTTTGCTCAGTTTGTCCATCTGTTTGAGGGTAGTACGCTGTAGATATTCTCCTTTTTATGTTAAGTGTTTTGCACAGGGATTCTCAGAAATCTCCAGCGAACTTTGAATCCATGTCAGAGACAATTTCTGTTGGTAAGCTATGTAGTTTCTATATTTCCTTCATGAAGGCTGTTGCCATGTCCTTTGCAGTGGCTGTCTCTTCTAATTCGACTAAGTGGGCCATCTTTGTAAACTGGTCAACTACTACTATAATTTGGGTATAACCTTGACTTTGGGGTAATTGTGTGATAAAGTCAATGGAAATTGATGCCTATACTACATAAGATATTGATAGTAGTTGTAGTAGATGTTACTTCGTGTATCGTGGAGATTTGCTGTGTTGAGAATCATCACATGACCATATATAATTGTTTATCCAATCTGCCAGGTCCTTCCAATAGAAGTCCCTCATAATTATTTCAAGAGTTTTTTCTTGTTCGAAGTGTCCAACTATTTTAGCGTCCTGACATCCTTCCGCTATTGTTGTATAAAGGTCCTGGTTTTTTGGTACAAATAGTCTTTGCTTGTGGTAAAGCAACTTATCTGATAGGATCTACTCTTTCAGGAAAGGTTTGCCATTGTCTCGTAATTTTTCCAACTTATTTCTTCTTTTAAGCCATTCTCTATCCCCTGGAATGGCTTTCATGATTTGCTTCAAGAATTCTGGATTGAATTTGTTCAATTCTTTGCAGGCTAGTATAGCGCTAGTCATGAGGGTTTGTTTGGGTACTTTGGCTGCATTGTACCGGTATGTATTCTGGTTTATTGATACATGTACTTGGCTAACTACAGGTTCAATTCCCGGATAGTAATAGCCCTTGTTGTGATGTCTGTACCGTCGAATCCCAACGTGCCTTTTTCAGTATTTTCTAGGTTGTTTATTTCTATCTTATCTGCAGTATTAATTTTCTCTATTACTAGCTGGGGAATCTGATGGCTGGATTTAATGTAACAGTTTGCATCTTGATGGTTGATTAGTAATACTTTGAGCTCGCTGGTATAATCTGCATCGATTATGTCAGCGCTAGTAGAAATACCACTTTTGACTGCGAGTCCGCTTCCAGGAGCAATCCTTCTATATGTTCTGACCGGTATCCAGATTGCAATACCGGTCCCAATAATTAATTGTCCTTGTACTGGTACCATATCTTCCTGCATTGTATAGAGATTGTGATCTGCTGCCATCTTTGAACCTTTAGTTGGTAGCCTTGCTCTGGTGTCTAACCATTTTACTCGAATTGCCGTGTCCATGTCGTTACAATTTAGTGTTTTCTGTATATCACCTGTTCTTATATCATTTGTTATGCTGCCTGCTATTAAGCATATTTGAATTTCCCCTTTTGTGGTTATCATTACTGAACTGATTTGGAAATGTTTGGGTTTCAACATTGCTTGTTCGTGATGTGCAACTCCTTCCTCAGAACTGTACTCTGGCTGTAGATTGAGTGCATCAGGTTTTCCTCCTCTTGTACATGGGCGGTAAACAATTTTGAAGTTGTAATTTTGAAGTTGTAATCTACTAACTTCTGCACTCAACGAATTTGGTGCCTACTTTAGACCTTCGAGGTGAGGAAATATTAGAGGTTTTGGTGATCAGTGTACACTGTTATAGGTTTTTCGGTTCCAACCAAGTATTGGTGCCATTCTGTTAATGCTTCTAGTATTGCCAACAGTTCTTTGTCATGGATTTCATAATTTCACTCTGTGGAATTCAGTTTACGGGAGTGAAAAGCTACAGGATATAGTCTTTTATCCACAAATTATGATAGGATGTAGCCTAAAGTGAAGTCGCTAGCATCGGTTTCCACCACTGTTTCTCTTTCTCGGAAAAAATAGTGTAAATTTGGGGCTGAAGTAAACCTTCTCTTAAGCTCCTGAAAGGCCATCTCCTGTTCCAGGCCCTACCGGACCTTTTGGGGATTACTCTTCAATGTTTCTGTAATTGGAGCACAAATCTTGGAGAAATTTTCTATGAAATATTGGTAGAAGTTCGCGAATCCTTGGAATATTTGAATTTCCTTGACCAAGGTAGGTGATTTCCAGTTTAATACTGAATCCACCTTTGGGTACTCATAGTTACCCAGTTGACAGCTATCATGTAGCCTAAGAATTCTATCTTTTTAACGTGTAAGAAAGATTTCTTTACTGAAATTGCCAGTTGAAAATCTGCTAACTATTGTAACACTTTTATTACTAGCTCGATATGTTTTTTCTCATTTTTAGAATAGATTAGAATGTTGTCCCAATAACATATGACTCCTTGGTCTAGAAATTCCTGAAGGACCTTATTTATCATGTCTTGAAACGTAGCTGAAGCATTGGCTAATCCAAAAGGCATGACCTTATATTCATAATGTCCATAGCGCAATCAGAAAGCTATTTTCCATTCATCTTCTTCCTTGATTCAGATGAGGTTGTAACTATCTTGTAAATCAATTTTAGAGAAAATGCTAGCTCCTGCTATACGATTACATAACTTCGACATTAGTTGTAGTGGATACTTGTTCAAGATAGATATCTTGTTCAGGTTCTGGTAGTCTACTACCAGTTGTAGTCTTATATCTGCTTTTGGTATAAAGAGAAGTGGGACACTAAAAGCCAATTGACTTCTCGTAATCTTTCCTTGACCTAACATATCAAGTTATTCTTGTAACAACTTGAGCTGTTTATTGGACAGAGGATAAATGAGTCCCCAAGAGGGTTTTGCTCCTTTAATTAATTTGATTTCATGATCGAATGTTCTCCTAGGTGCTAATTTTACTGCCATTTGGAGGAGAAATAATCTTTTGAATTTCTAGTAGTATTTTGGGAGGGAAGTAAAGTTGATCTGGTTAGAGTCTTCTGTAGTCCTGATGCTCCCTATTTGGATTGCATTTTTATCCCAGGCAACTGTCTTATCATATTCACATATATCTGCAATTCTTTCATCTTCTTCTTCCATATAGTTTTTGCATTTAGGGTTCTTGTATTCCCATTTTGCTGGGTCTCCAATGTTGGATAAGGAGTGTTCTGAATCCCACCACCCAAAAGGGATTATCATTCTGTAATTACCTGCTGCTACGACTTCGCAGGCAACTTCGGACATGTGTTTGTTTCGTACTATTTCAAGTCGAATAGGATGCGCATAAAACCTTCCTCCTGATGGAGTTGATACTCCATCAAAGCCTTGAATGTTGACCGGATTTGGTTTCTCTATGAATAGGATTTTTAATTCTTTTACTAGTTTTTTGTTGATTAGGAACACATTGGATCCCGAATCTAGTAGTACTTGTATTTTATAGTACTGACGATTTGGATTTATAATGTGAATATAAGCATGTCTCTCAGGACAGTCATATCTTGTGGGTATTTGTACGCTGAAAGTGTTCTTTTTTGGGTAAGGCGTTGAATTGTTGTTTTCTGGTTTTGACATGTCTGAGGTGAGATAACAACTGGGATGTTTGTTACCACACCTGTACAGTTTCTACCACTTAGGTCTCCTCAGACAAACTTGTTTCCTCTTGGTATATTGGGCAGCCTACTACTAGTAGTTTTTACCTCCTGCTGACGGGTTCCCATACCTTCTACTTTTACTTCCTGTGGAACCAATCTAGGGGGTAACTGCAATCATCCAGATATTATGAAAACAAAAGCTGGGTGCCTAGGGCTGGTTAGCTTTCTCTTTGATAACATTCCTGGGCTTATTCTATACCCTCACTTAACCACAGACAGTGTGCTCACTTTATTGACTTCTGTTTGGTACCAGCGCAGCACATAAGAAGCAGTAACTAAAGGTAAGGTCTAGAGCTCTTGTACCTATTTCTCGTATAGATAAAAGATGTGCTTTGCTTTTCTTCTTGATCCTTCATCTTAGCCCTACTGTAGCTTCCTCCAGAATCCTTGGTGCTATCTGTTTACTGTTTAGGCTTCGGTCTTTATCGGAGACCTTTCAGTTGCCGGGTCACGTGCCTTACTATCCTAACGAACATGCATTAGGTCATTAGTATGAGCTTGCATCACTCTCTTGTGAAGCATAGAGGTGCCGCCATTGCGAACATCACTCTTTATTGATCACATTATCTTTGCAGCAAGAAGGATATGTATACTCCTACTCAGATCATCATTGCTAGGTTGATTTCTCCACTTCGACATTGTCTTTTTTGCCATTGATTTTGACTCCTGGAGAGTATGTCTCCTCTAGACTACCCAAACACTGTTGTTGTTGATACCAATGAAATGACCTAAGTTATTTCTTCATTTTTGCCAGGTTCCCAGAGCTTGTGACTTCTTGGAACTTGAACGGCAGAAATCTTTCTAGGCTGTTAAACAACTGTCACCATTTTGCGCCTTGGTGTCTTGAATGGGCTGTCATCTGCTCTTGTCCTAGAAACCTGAATTTGTCACCAGCAGGTTTTGTAGTCATGGTTTTTCTTCTCACAACGAGTGTAATAGCCATCCTGCTTTCTTTCTTCAATTGTTAACTAGGAGATTCCTTCGTGAGCCATTTCGAGGTTTGTATGTGTCAACTTCGTAGTCTCAGTAGATGTAACGATCCCTCCTTGGATAGTTAGTTCTTGGCGATGGGGAATGATACTTCTCTTCTTCTGTTTCTTTCCTTAGTCTTACGATAGCACTATGCCTCTGCCTATGTTACTGATAGTATAAGACCTCTGTCTTCTATTGGGAATACCTATTGTAAGCTTTCTCTAACTCTTCTTCGTAAAGAGCTCTCCTTGATGTGATGATAACGTTGCAATAAAGATAAAGATTGTAAAGGTGTTTTATATTCGTTAAAGTAATAAGCAGGAAAAGTACTTAGAACAAAGCGTGAAGAACCT